GCGCAGGGCACTTACTTGTGGAAAGAAACGGGTTTGTCCTTATCGTATCTATTCTTGCAGCCGTAAGCGGAACAAGACTGCACCATCCTTCCGGCCCTCAGTCCCTGTACTTCTGCCGCCACAGCAGGCAGGTGGAGCTGCTGTCAGTATCGCCGCGGCCGACTTCGACTCCCTCGCTTCTGCTGTAGCTTTGGCCACCAGTTACAGCGACGATCGCCTCACTTGGCGCTGCCTAACGGGCCCGTTGTGTTGTTTGCATTAGCAGAAGGACCACAGCCATCGCTCGCCTCCCATCTCCAAGATGGCGGAGGCAGCTTCAACTTCACCTATCGCGAGGAGTTCGTCCCTCTGTCTCTGATTAGCCTTGAGGTCAGAGGTAACGTTTCCTGCGAAGCCGGCCATTGGTTGAAGCCTGGCGTCTCGCGCCGCCAGCCTCGCGGTCGAAAGCGGGCGTGGCTCCGAGCTCCCTGCAGGGGAAGGGGCGGGGAGGGGCGGTGTGCACCGACTCTCCGGCGGGTTCAAGTTTACCTGGGCTCGCTTGTTCGGGGCGCGTAGGACAGAGGGACAAATACAACGTGTTAATGGTGGTCTCTTTGCGCCTGTTTTCTTAAAAGAGCACTCATCGCTAATTTGCAAGATTTTGTGTCCCCTTTTGCAGAGCGCTCCTCCGTGCCCTTTGGCCTGTCACGCCAGGCACTTCCGCGATCGGTGAGATCCCAGACACTTTTCCAGGTGTGAGCGCAGCCACACTCACACCTGATCCGCGGCGGACAGCGATCCCGCTGTGGACTTCTCGGGGGCGGCTCCGCAGCAGCTTCCTGAGCGGACCCGCGTCCCAAAGCCGGCAGCTACCGCTCGGGCCCCGGGCGCTGGGCTGAAAACCGCCACCCGCAGAAGTGATGTTTCCCTTAGAGAGAGGTGTTGTGGCCCCAGCCCTCCTCTGCTCTATGTAGGTTCAAAGCAGGCGACGTTTCTGGCCTCTCAAATGTGTTGCGTCCAGAATTCCATCCTCTGCCCTCGTTACATTCTGAACAACCTTGATCTTTCAATGAAATGCTGTAATCGTTGACTCATCCTACATCCACTCGGCCTTTGAGCCTGGCCTGAGTTATCTCTGCAGCTGTTCGAGCCTTGGCGTTATCCTTCTTACTCCACACATCCCATTCATTACCTTGCCACGCCTCTTGATCCGGCCTCATGGGATTCACCCTGGAGGGACCCAAGCCAGAATTGGGTTAGTGAGTGAACCTTCAGTCTTACTCTCGCAGTTTTGCCTCCTCAGTCCAGCTCACCATCGCCCACAGTACTAAATAAAATCCAAACTTCCTGCGACCCATAGAGGACCTCTCAACACCATGGGCCCTTGCACTTATCTTCAGTTGGGGCTTTAAGTGCCCTGATGAACGTTCTCATCACATAATAGGCTGTTTCCTTTCTTCTGAAACGCACTTCCTTGACCTGCCACCTAATCATCTCCAGCTATCCCTTACCTGTCTTGTAGCCTCCCCAATGTAAGCATTTCTTCTCTTCTAATGAAATTCTGGGCTAACCTCATTATTGATTATACCTCATACCAAAATTCCTGTGTACAAGAGGGAGACAAAAGCTGGTGGAAATGGATTTGAAAGAGAATGGACTTTTCCCATGAACTTTATGAAGCCCTTTCTTACCTGTTGTCCTCATCAGACTCTTATTTAACCTGTAACCCCTAGTAGTGTGTGGCATACGTTAAGTACCGCATATACTCGAGTATAAGTCGACCAGAATATCAGTCCGGCACCTAATTTTACCCCAAAAGCTGCATTAAAGTGATCCAAATTGGTGGGGAGGTGAGTGTGGGAGGCCTGGTAGGTCATGATCAAGGGGAATGTAACAGAGGAATTGCTGAAACCCTGGTGGGGACTGAGCATGATAGTGGGACAGGAAGAAAGTCAAGGGAAATAGAGGAAAGAACTGGGAGGCAAAGGACATTTATAGAAGTCTAGATAAAGACATGTACATATGCAAATATATTTATATATGAGTGAGTTAGTTAATTGTGCAAACCTGGCCCATAAACACATGTGGGGCTAATTGAAAGGTAGAGGGATAAATGGGTGGTGAGCCTTGCCTTTCTAGTTCTCGGGTCTCTTGCTTTGTGATGGTCGCACCAGGGTGCAGCTGCCTTAGCAGTTCCCTGCTTCAGCTTGCAAGATTGACTTC